TCCCTCCAGCAGCACCACCGCTATCTTCGTTGCCAGAACCACCACCACTCGACAGCAACACTGTCTCAAACAAATCAACATATCGCAAAAAAACACCACCACATCGTCGCACCAGATCCACAGCCACCTCGATGGACCCATCGCCACCAACATCTACTAGCAGCACCAACACCGTCTAGTCGTTGCACCGCCGTTGCCAGAACCACACGACCGCCACACCGCCACCATCTCAAAACACCACCACCAAATACCACCACTACTTCACCATCGCCGTCGCTACCACTTTAACCGTACCACCACACAATCATTTGCATACACACAAAACAACACACATACACCATAGATCATCCAATCACCGCTCAGCACGAATCACTCACCACCTACACCAACTACTCACTGCCATTGCCACCACCGCAATTGCAGCCGCACCACTACCACATCGCACCAATTACATTCAACACCACAACAAACAAGATGAAGAGAAAATAGAGGTAGATTAGAAATAAACTCAAATTCCCGTAAATCAACTAATTGAGTGTTTTACCTAACTACTAAAAACCTCCAAGAACCTTCTTCCCACACCAAATCCATCACTAAAGGTCCACCCCTGAACCTCCCAAAATGCTACCCAAATTGAAGATCCATACTACCCCGCCAACACCGGAGGAGCCACCAAATTCGCCCCACCAGCCGACTCCGTCGATCTAATCTTCCACATCTTAAAGGTCCTCCTTGCCGTGCGCAGTAAAAAGCTTGCTTGGCAAGCACCGCTGCATGACGAAGAGCCTGTTCGACAATCGCCAATGCGTGGTAGTAATGTGCAATGGCTGCTACGTACAGTAGCGTGAGCACCGTCGCTCAATCCACTGCATCAGCATCATTGTCAAAGTGGAGCTCCTCCTTTTCGGTGGTTGTATGAGAGAGAGAGAGAGAGAGAGAGAGAAATGAGAGAGAAAAGTAGAAGGGAGAGAGATTTAGAGTTTGTTGGGAGTTGGAATCGAGGCTTTATCTATTTTAATTTTATATTTTTAAAAATTAAATTATTAAAATTTTAATTATCATATGATTTTTGAAATAAAAACTTGTGAATTTGAATTTTAAAATTGGAAGTTTAAAATTCTGGTATGCTGTAATTTCCACTTTATTTGTTGGTAAAATAATATTTGAATTATATTATTTTTTATTATTTTTTAAAATAATAATATATTTATTTTTCTTGAATTTTCTGTGCGCGACACGTGGCTTTTTCTAGAATTTGGTGGTTGACAGTTAAACTACATGTCCAAACGGGTGTATCTGTTAAAGACACAATTTTTTGACTGTTGTGTATTTTGAACACAACTTTTTAATTTTTATATAAAGGTCCCCATACCCCGGATTTTATTCATTCCAAAATCAATTCTGGTTTTTCTCTCTTGCAAATTATATTCCCTCATCCATGCATTATTTCATATTTTGCATTTCGATTTCGAAAGTTATTTTCGTGCATTTTAGTCCCCCAATTTTTGTGAGATAAAAAACGTTAGTAGGTTCGCCGGATCCTGTAATTTGGAGTGCTACTATTAAAAGTCGAGGTCGTTTTATTACAATCAGGACCAGTGCGGACGTTATCGTCTTAATGAGAAAGAGTCGAACTTTTGCCTCGATCATTATCATTTTATTTAGTTCATTTTTTCAAATCATTATTATGGCGAAATTATTGCACGATAATATCATTATTTGCCAACACTTTCAACCAAACCTAAATTAAATTTCAACCCGACTAATTGATAGGGTGGCCGTGGCCATGACTTCAATTCTTGCTCCATTAATCCACTAAAATCAATTGCTAAGGTCCAAAATCATACCGCCAAACCTAGATTTTGGTAGTCCTCACAACCAAACCTAAACTAAACTTCAAACCCTAAACTAAAATGCCTGAACAAAAATGAATATAACTAACGATAAAAGTACGACCAGCTTTAAAAAATATCCACACCACTTCTACTGATTCACGCATATCAGTTAATATTTTCCAATTTTCTCTCATATTTTATTCTCTTACCGTAGGCGCTGCATTGAAGCATCTATTGTAATCAAACCTTTGATCCTATTTCTGAAATTCCCATTCCGAAATAAAACCCTAACAAGAATACCAAATTTGCTTATGACAACCTAGAAAATCATCACAGCCTATCACAATGGGAATCTGAATCTTTTGTCCAAAAACACAGAACTCAGAATTCGTTGAATGCGAGTTGATATAGCTCCTCCTATTGAGTTTTAATGCAAGCCAAACTTCAGCCCCAAAAGTCGTGGTTTCCACTTCGCCTTTAATTGTTGGTCAATTTATTGGAACGTTGCTTGTGCCCACGTATTTTCCATCTTTTTTCCATTTAACCTGTCTCAAGATAATTCACCCTCAAAGTCGGCTTCTTAAAATCTTTTATAAAGTAAAAATTATTTCTACGTGTACGCAATAATTTTAAATAAATCGAGAAGCGAATAGCACAACAGCAAATATATGTAAGAATATTGAAATAAAGACAATTGATCTTTCCTGTAGTAAGGAAGTAATTGGCCGTTTGAGTTCACTGAGACCATCGGTTTTGTTCCAAGTGAGCAATAAAGTCAAACAGGGAATAAGCAAGTATTTGATGAAATAAAAAAATCTCATCTAATTTGTTTACTTTCGCTAGATTATTGACCAGAAACAGGCCTAAAAACGTAAAGTAGAGAACAGCATGGGATTATAGAACTGAGTGCCTTCACTGGAGTATTTGGCTGCCATAGTCAGCATTAAACTTCTCGTAGCGATGAGCAAGGAGATGCGCAGATGGTCTAGTGTTTTTCAAAGCCATCTCAATGTCTCCATGTGTAATTGGTCCAGCTTTGGGCAACTCTGCATGCCAATCACAGCACATTAGTGCATCAATTATAAATAACACCTTAACCCTCTCTACAAGTTTTTCTCGTATTGCTCTATATGCAACAGAGAAATAAGCAAATTCTATGGGATTTGGTTTAATCCCATAGAAAATGAATCGTATTTGATTGGAACCACTGCAATAATACAATACAGAAGTACGATGGACCAGATCAATGCAATCATTTATTCTCATTAGCAAACAATGCATAATGTGAAAACTTCAAAGCTAAGATGACAACCATATAAATTTTATACACAAAAATATGAAACCATCAGTCTAAGAGAAGTTTGTGATTTGTGAGAATACTAATGAAGTGCATATAAGTCCATTCTTCTTCACTCTTCAGTCAGAATGAAGCTGCAAAGAGCAATAGAAACCTAAACCCCTTTCCTTCCTTCAACCAAAAGACGCTTTGTTACTTTTGCATGTTTTAAACATTAAAACGCAATAAGCAGATACTTTATGTTTTATAATGCTGAACAACTTTAAAACTCTTTTGTGCAACAGATGCATGTAAAAACCAAGTCTTTCTGGTGGAAACTTTTCAATAATCGAAAGAATCAAGAAATACTATAATTGCAAAATGGAAAATACTTGTTGTACATCACCATTTACTTTTTTTTTTTTTTGATAACCGTGGATGTCCGGGCCAGCTTGCGCGCACCTCGACTAATTCCACGGAGCCCTGAAGTTTACGGCCGGGTACTCACCTCAGTGGCCTTGAAGGGACTCGAACTGGTGACCATTGGGGAGCAAACCCAAGGCCTGACCAATTGAGCAACCCCTCAGGGTTATACATCACCATTTACATAATCTTTTTCAGATTGATGAGGTATCAAAAAGAAAGTGTCCGAAATAAATGGCTTCTATATATGCATACATGGCAATGAAAACATTAGTAACACTCGTGGCATGTTTGGCACAGTGCTTTAGACAACATGAAAATCTCTGTCACGTGCCTCTCTTGTCTAATCCTGTTCAATCCAACTACTAAATATGCCAAGTTTTTTTTAATGTTTTTTTCTTTAGATTTATTTCTCCTGGTAATAATTAATAGACATACCATCCTTAGGTACCATTTCTTGTATGTCCTCAAGAAGTGCAATTAGCCGTCTCAGGGCTGCATTGTAGCCTCTTTGCACAATAGCCAAATATCGGAACCCGAAAAACCTTCAGTTTGTTCCACCAACAAATCATAAGGAAGTTTCTCTTCCTGAAAGTTTGATGGTAGCAATTCCTCAAACGTGGCTCTTCTAGCTTCTGGTTCTGGTAGTGGTACAAGGATCTAAATCACGCGGAAAGGAAAAAAATGGTCAATATTATTAAGTAAAATGGTAGAAAATCTAAACAAAATATTGAAACCGACAATTCCCTGCCATTTTTCCATTTGAATGTAATGTTCCTAGCTGTTAACAAACTATAATTGCGAAATACCAATAACTTGAATTTGGAGTTGTGGCAAATGGCACCACATTTTTCTATAAACCACTGTATTATTTCAACAAAATGAAGAAATAAATAAAAGAAAAAGAGGATTTGATTGGATTAAATACCGTTAAACACATTTTTTAACCAGAAACTAGTCCAAGGACGATTTTTCTTTTAAGAGGAAAGTTCCAATTTAAATGTCTGTGTTTCCTGCCAAATGATGCATCAGCTCATAAGATATATACCCGTTTCTCAAGACGTCTGAGCATGGCCGCATCTAGTTCCCAGGGGAGGTTTGTTGCCACCAAGACAAAAACAAGTTCATCCGTCCTTGATAAACCGTCCATCTGCAATCCAGTCCAAATAATTAGTTTTTGAGAAAGTGCATTAAAACTGGAGTTTTATCTGTACACACCAACACAAATTATTATGGTTGCAGAAAGATAAGCTAGACAGTTTATGATTGTTTTCTAAATTAAGATTTAACTTCTACCCAAAAAATGAGGAATGTCACAGGAGCTTTAAATTAGCCTGTGACTGGTTCACAAGTCACTCACAATGGCGGAATGCTAAAAGCTAATTTTGGAGTGCTGTATATTCTTGCACTGGTAGGTATAATGTATCACCTGTATGAGCAACTCAGTTTTTAAGCGCCTGCTAGCTTCATGCTCACTGCGTCGTTCACCTCGTTGGCTGATAATTGCATCAATCTCATCGAGAAATATAGTTGATGGAGCATGATGCCTAGCCAGGTCAAATAATACTTTGATCAATTTCTCCGAGTCACCTGAAGAGCAACACGATTCAAAAGATTATCTCAAAAGAAAGATGGAAGCCAAGCAGTGAATATAGTTTTCTCAAAAACTGTTAAAATAATAATAATAATAATAATAAATAAATCTAAAATTATGTCTGTTGTTACTCAATGTTTACAAATCTATGGTTTCAAGAAACTGTAGTAGAATCTCAGAACTACAGTTCCACTAACACAATCTCAAGAAATTTAAGATTAAAGGAAAAACAAGGAAAACAAATTATTATTATTTTTACAGCAAACCAGAACCACATCCAAAGATGGCACAAAAAAACATATTCAAACATAAGTTAGAAACAATCAGGAGATTAACCACTAAAAGTGAACTTCGCATTAGCAGATCTAGATGCAATGGATATACCATCTTTGTAAATTTCATGCAAACTTGTAATTAAAATATTCGCTTACTCATTCATGCCACCACAAAAGCTGAAAAGCATAACCAAAAGTAACCGAAAAGGAATATCACAATTAAGATTCAATCAGCCGATCAAAAGTCGAGCAAGGCTGTATTTAGGAGACATGACAAGTCAGAACATCATACCCTGCCATTTGCTGACAACTGATGATGCAGAAATGTTGAAGAATGTGGTATTGCACTCGGTTGCAACAGCTTTTGCTAGCATAGTCTGCAAATTTGGAAAAATGGCTCCGATTATAAGAAATACCGTTTATTGATCAACACCGCGTCAATTTTAATAAGCTCATCATAGAATGTTTGAAAACAGAACTTCCATGCAAGTGCTTCAACATTGACCTCAGGTCATATAGGTAGTTCATCCGATCTCAGTAGTCTCATTGCCAGTTCTTTTACATTGTCACATTGACTAAAAGTACACTCCAAGAATCTTATTTTTACTATTTTTGATTAGTTCTATTCCTTCCATAACTCTTAGTTTTGAAATTGATTGACTTTTTACTCTCATTATTAAATCAGTATCGCCTACAAAAAGCATTTACTATAGGACATCATCCTACACGCTGATTTTGAATAGTTCTGTTTCAAAACATTCCTTCCATAACTCTAACTTGAAACTGATTGCCTTTTTAGTCACATTATTGAAATCAACGTAGCCTACAAAAAGCATATACTACAGGACCCCCATCCTAACTAAAGTTAATTCATTCATACGAAGACAAACAAATATGGATATAGAATTAACCATTGATGCAACTTTAAAACATTCATACACGCATAAAAAAACTCTACTGTAGAAATTCTTCATACTGACTTTATATATATATATATATATATATAATGAAACTTTACTTTTGCAGGATTCTTAGTTTGATTTCTGATATACAGTTCAAATCTTATCCAATTATGCAATAGAACAATTTGCACAAAGAAACTAAGAATAGTGAATGAGCTATTACAAAATTAATATCAAAATTTTGGAGGTTATTCATCACCAATTGAGTGATAGAAAGTTTTATGAAGAACAAAGAGGAGCAGATGCTGTATACAAACAACAAAAAAGAAATGAGGCAGAGTTCAAACCTTCCCAGTTCCTAGGGGTCCAAATAGGAGAATACCTTTCCATGGTGTTAGAAGACCAGTGAAGTACCTAAAGAAGTGGTCAGAAAATTTTGGTTATAGTTCAATAAGAGCCTAAAATTTAGATTTTCCACATCTCGGGTGCTAAATTCTACGTGGAAAATCCCACCACCCCAAAGACGATTGACATGTTTATCTTCAAATATCATACACAAAGTTTTGACCTTTGACTAGCAATCTGAAAATAAATAAATCAATTTCAACTTCTTTCCTATAACTTTAGCATGAAATGAGGTGCTCAACGATAAGACATACTTTGGATATTTTATGGGCATGACAACTGCTTCTTTGAGTAGCCGTTTTGCATTCTCTAACCCTTTAATGCCGTCCCATTTAACATCTGGACTACCACGAACGATGTCCCTGCAAAGAAGAAATCAAGACATCATCCATAGTTCTCAGTAAAAGTTTTTAAATCAGCCACATGAATGAAATTGACTGATCATTGTAAGACTCTGTTATGGTTCCCATTACAACGTATGGGACTTGAATCACATATTGAAAGTATCAGCTTTCGGTGTGTGGTTTATATAGACTTGGGCTCTTCAATTTCAACAACTAGCTTTTGGAGTATGACTCTTTCAAAATCTATATCAATAGTATCAGCGCAGGTACCACGTCTCCCCCGGTTGCAATTGAGCGGCGCGTATGGTGACGCAAGCATAGCAGTGTTCGTCTGGTACTAGTCAGGGCTAGTGCAAAGCCAGTCCGATGTGAGTGCCGGGATTGCGGAATTCTTATTGCAAGATATGACTTGAATCCCACATGAAAATATAGGTTTTCGATGTGTGGTTTACCAATAGCTAACTTTTAAAGTATAGCTCCCAAGATCTATATCAGACTCTAGCCAATTGTTCATCAATTACCTGCTTAAACTTTCTGCTAAAATACGCATTTCAGCAGACTCAAAAGGAGGAAGTAAAGACTTCTGCCTGAAAAAAGTGAACAGTAAATATAAGCAAACACGTAAATAGGAAGGAGATGCTACAGAAGTCATGCTATCATGAGAAGCATAAAATATTGATGCAGTGCGGATGTTGTCACGTGATGAGGTCCTGGTACATTGTGAAAAATTTTGTCTACACCAAAAATGGGACTCAAACAGCGTTAGAGGCATAGGCCACAAGAAAAACTGAAAATAACTTTATAAAATAATCGAAATTTTAACACTTGGAAGAATTATAATGACACGTCAAAATTTATTTTACGGACAACAAAATGGGAAATGAATTTAGTCCCATTTGGCTCTTATTATTCCTCATAATTATAATCCATTTTTCTCTTTTTTCTTATCAATCACACATTTTTTAATAAAATAATATTATAAGTTAATTCAAAAATTCTTTTTCCCAAATCACGCATTATCGAAAAAATTATTATTTTTATGGTTATAACGTGGAATAATGAGCGAAACCTGAGCCTAATTGGTCCTTCAGTTCACTCACAGCTGAGCGAAACAATTCACACTTCTGTCAACCCCTTTCTAGTTTATTCTTGTGTTCTCCTCCATCGCGCGCCTACTCACCAAAAAGATTCCAGTCACTCCAGCAATAATTATCCAAGCACCCAGCACCCACGTGAAAAATCTCCCCTAATTTCTTTCTCCCCGCGTTTTCAATCTCTCGAAATAAAGCACATGCTCAGTCTCTCTCTATCTATGGTGTGACGACTCAAGATTTGGATGGGATGCACACGTCGCTCTCTCTGTGTGCGTTTGTGTAAGCGATTTTTCAAATGCCAGTCGAGGCTTTGCCTACCCGTTGGTCTTTTCAGGTGCTTGATTTCTTTTTGTATCTCTGATATACTTATGAATGCATTTTTTATATGTAGTACGGTCTTTTTTATAT